GATAATCTAACAATTAGGCTGGTCGACATGTATTACTTTTCGAACAAATGCGTATTCATAATGTCAAATGCCATGCATTTTTTTGTATTTATAAAAAAAAAATGTATTATTATTTTTATTTCATGAACTAAAGTACATACATATACTAACAATTTTGTTTAATAAAAAATTAAAAAAATAAAATAAGCCCACATCATAATAAAACCTTTTACTTTTGGGACTTTTATAAATTTCCACATAATTGGTGATGATTATATGCTAAAGTCTAAACCCCACATTAAACATATTTCCCTATTTTAGCCGACACATTTGTTCATTTATTAATTTGTTTTTATTTATTTATTATTTGTATTTTCTGCTTTTCTCTCTCTCCACTCCACTCTGAAAGCTTTCGAATCTCAGAGCAGAGCTTTTGGCGATGGTGACGTCTACAATGGCGCCTTTTCCTTCTCAACACCCTTTCACAAGTCTCGTTTAGGCTAATAAAGGCTCGTTCACGGGACCAGCTAAGGCTCAACGGCACCCACCGTGTATCTCGGCGATGGAGGGCCGAGCGGCGGCCGGTTCTTCTCTGTTACTCGCGGTGCTTGCTATGATCGCGGTGGTCATCGTCGGTTTGTGGGCGGCGGTGGATGCTTCTACTGACCCTAATGACGGTGAAGATTTATGGATTTTTTTTTGTGTTTCTCTTGGAATTTGATTATTTTATGCATGTTTTTTGGCTGTTATTTTTTGGATTTGATTGGTCAGCTGCTAGGCGTTGAAGAGAAATCTAGATTCGTTGATACATGATTAGCGAAAGGCTCATAATTGTTGTTTTAACTGATCTAAATAAATTTATCATGGCAAAATCTGGTTTGAATTTTTCGGATTTTTCCCTGTAGATGCTGAGTGAAAATGGATTGGGGAAGTTACTGGAGCAATGTTAATGGAAGTATTTTGGGTAAAATTAACTTAATCTTATAGCCATTTATGAAGTATTTAGTTTGGTGAGGAAGTGTGGAGAAAATATTATCACCACTTATGTTTCCATGTATAAGTTCTATTTTATTATACATTCTTTTCATCTCCTTGTTCATGGATGGCAACAAAATTATAGATTAAAGGATTTTATTTCCTTCTTGTAATATGCAATTGAAAAGTATTGTATCATAATCCTGTTTCCTGAATATGCAAGTTGGTCTCTGTTCTTGTTTGATGTAGGCTTGACTGATGTGGGAATTGTTAATTCAGCTGATATGTAATACAACAAGTGAATCTCAGAAATCACAGTAATTACTTTACAAGAATATCTAGTGCCCGATGATGAGTGCAACATAGGCGTGTTTTTATGTTGCCTCCTGACAATGATGTGCATAAGTGCCTTTGTGATTGCTTGCCACTTGATAGTGATGTACATTTGTGACTTGTATACTGGATTGATTGCCTTAGAAGATGTTCGACTGAGTCTCTAGTTGTACTCACTCTCTACAGTTCAAGGGCTCCAGGTATTGTACAGTTCATTAAATAGTCCTCCACAGCTAACGGGCTGGAAATCAACTAGTGGTGATCCATGTGGCGAGTCGTGGAGGGGAATCACCTGTCAAGGTTCTTCTGTTGTCTCTATGTAAGTGTTACATCCTGGATATTTTTT